GAGATTTGCGCGGACGGCTGCAGACGGCGTGGGTGCCAGGGAGTGGCTGGAAATGGGTGGGGAGAAGAAGCCGATGGAGATCAGCGAGCTTCCCTGCGCGGACGGCTGCGGACGGGAAATGGGTGCGGAGAATTGCGCGGACGGCGTGGGTGCAAGGGGGTTTCTGGAAATGGGTAGAGAGAAGAAGCCGCTGGAGATCAGCGAGCTTGGCTGCGCGGACGGCTGCGGACGGGAAATGGGTTCAGAGAATTGCGCGGACGGCTGCATGCGGATGGCGTGGGTGCAACGGATTGGCTTGAAATGGGTGGGGAGAAGAAGCCGCTGGTGATGAGCGAGCTTGGCTGCGCGGACGGCTGCGGACGGGAAATGGGTGCGGAGAACTGCGCGGACGGCTGCGGACGGCGTAGGTGCAACGGATTGGTTGGAAATGGGTGGGGAGATGAAGCCGCTGGAGATCAGCGAGCTTGGCTGCGCGGACGGGTGCGGACGGGAAATGGGTGCGGAGAATTGCGCGGACGGCTGCGGACGGCCTGGGTGCAAGGGACTGGCTGGAAATGGGTGGGGAGAAGAAGCCGCTGGAGATCAGCGAGCTTGGCTGCGCAGACGGCTGCGGACGGGAAATGGGTGCGGAGAATTGCGCGGACGGCTGCGGACGGCGTGGGTGCAAGGGAGTGGCTGGAAATGGGTGGGGAGAAGAAGCCGCTGGTGATGAGCGAGCTTGGCTGCGCGGACGGTTGCGGACGGGATATGGGTGCGCGGACGGCTGCGGACGGCGTGAGTTGCTGGAAATGGGTGGGGATCGCGCTGGTGATGAGCGAGCTTGGCTGCGCGGACGGCTGCGGACGGGAAATGGGTGCGGAGAACTGCGCGGACGGCTGCGGACGGCGTGGGTGCAACGGAGTGGCTGGAAATGCGTGGGGAGAAGAAGCCGCTGGGGATGAGCGAGCTTGGCTGTGCGGACGGCTGCGGACGGGAAATGGGTGCGGAGAATTGCGTTCACGGCTGCGGACGGCGTGGGTGCAAGTGAGTGGCTGGAAATGGGTGGGGAGAAGAACAAGATGCAGCCCACGAACCCGAATGCTCACACGTATTTTAATGGATATGCAGTCACTCAGAACAATTTTCTGCAAAAGTTTATTTGAACAGTGTTGTATATACATATTTCCCCTGTTACCAGTCTGCAGTCAGTGTGGAGTGGACAGTGTAGAGTGTGGAGTGTAGAGTGTAAAGTGTAGAGTGCGGAGTGTGGAGTGTAACGTGTGGAGTGTGGAGTGTAAAGTGTAGAGTGTGGAGTGTAAAGTGGGAAGTGTGGAGTGTAAAGTGTGGAGTGTGGAGTGAGGAGTGTGGAGTGTAAAGTGTGGAGTGTGCAGTGGGTAAAGTGTGGAGTGTAGAGTGTTGAGTGTAAAGTGTAGACTGCGGAGTGTGGAGCGTAAAAGTGTGGAGTGTAAAGTGTGGAGTGTAAAGTGTGGAGTGTAAAGCGTGGAGAGGAAAGCGTGGAGTGTAAAGTGTGGAGTGTGGAGTGTAGAGTGTAAAGTGTATAGAGTGTAAAGTGTAGAGTGTAAAGTGCAAACTGTAAAGTGTGGAGTGTAAAGTATAAAGTGTGGAGTGAGGAGTGTGGAGTGTAAAGTGTAGAGTGTGTAGTGTGGAGTGTAAAGTGAGGAGTGTGGAGTGTAAAGTGTGGAGTGTAAAGTGTGGAGTGTGGAGTGTAAAGTGGGAAGTGTGGAGTGTGGAGTGTAAAGCGTGGAGTGAGGAGTGTAAAATGTAAAGTGTGGAGTGAAAAATGTAAAGTGCACAGTGTGAGTGTAAAGTGTATAGAGTGTGGAGTGTGGAGTGGAAAGTGCAGAGTGTGAAGTGTGGAGTGTAAAGTGTAGAGTGTGGAGTGTGGAGTGTAAAGTGCGGAGTGAGGAGTGTAAAATGTAAAGTGTGGAGTGAGGAGTCAAAAATGTAAAGTGTGGAGTGTAGAGTGTAAAGTGTACAGCGTAAAGTGTAGAGTGCGGAGTGTGGAGAGTAAAGTGTGGAGTGCAAAGTTTAAAGTGTGGAGTGAGGAGTGCAAAGTGTAAAGTGTGGAGTGTGGAGTGAGGAGTGTAAACTGTAATTTGTGGAGTGAGGAGTGTGGAGTGTAAAGTGTCGAGTGTGGAGTGTGGAGTGGAAAGTGTAGTTTGTGGAGTGTGGAGTGTAAAGTGTGGAGTGTGGTGGAGTGTGGTGGAGTGTGGGGTGTAGAGTGTGGAGTGTGGTGGAGTTTGGGGTGTAGAGTGTGGAGCGTGTAGGAGTGTAAAGTGTGGAGTGCAAAGTTTAAAGTGTGGAGTCCAAAGTGTAAATTGTGGAGTGTAGAGTGTAAAGTGTAGAGTGTGAAGGGGGAGTGGAAAGTGCAAAGTGTAAAGTGTAGAGTGTGGAGTGAGGAGTGTAAAGTGTAAATTGTGGAGTGAGGAGTGTGGTGTGTAAAGTGTGGAGTGTAGAGTGTGGAGTGGAAAGTGTCGAGTGTGGAGTGTGGCGTGTAGAGTGTAAAGTGTAAAGTGTGGAGTGAGGAGTGTGCAAAGTGTAGAGTGTGGTGGAGTGTAGAGTGTGCAGTGTGGAGTGTAGAGTGCGGAGTGTAGAGTGTAAAGCGCCACCCCTGCCACGCAAAACGACATGACAACTTGATTGGAAACCTTCGAAAAGGAGAGATTTTGCAGCTTCCCCCATACACACGGCGACGCCGGAGGCTTCCGTCAATTTTCAGCACATTTCACAAAATGCCACGTCTGCCACGGAATCTGCACCTTGTCGCCACTTGACGCAGCCCTGCCAATGCGATTCGCAAAAAAACACGCAACACGACGCGTCTAAAGCGCTGCGCCTGCCATGCAAAATGACGATGGACACGTCCAAAGTGCTGCGCCTGCCACGAAAACTGCAACGCATCTTCTGAAAACGTCGCAAAAGTACTGCGCCTGCCACACAAAATGACTTTCGACACGTTACAAAACACGTCTGAATGTCACGAAGTGCCACGCCTGCCACGCGAAACGCAAAAATTACCCCTTCTGGAGAACTTACCAGAGGCACGGCCATATAGCAATCGCGCGGACGGTTGCGAGTGGTTGCGGACGGTTGGGCAACGGGAACCCTTGCTACGCATTCAGGGAAAGGAAGGGAACGGAAGGGACAGGAAGGGAAAGGAAGGGAAAGGAATGGAAAGGACGGGAAAGGAAAGGAAAGGAAGGGAAAGGAAGGGAAAGGAAGGGAAAGGAAGGGAAAGGAAGGGAAAGGATGGGAAAGGAAGGGAAAGGAAGGGAAAGGACGGGAAAGGAAGGGAAGGAAGGGAAAGGAAAGGAGAGGTTGATTTGGAAATCAGCCGCCGTCGCATGACCGTGCTCAAATGAGCTTGCTTGGCTATTGCACACTGTCACTCAATGTTTCCGCGCAGAGCTGAAATTACTTTACTTCGAGTTATCCCCACCATGACATTTATAAGTTTTGTTACTGGCAAATCTTCTGGCATTCTATCTGACATATCTTCTGGCATTTTATCTAGCATATCTTCTGGCATTCTATCTGGCATATATTCTGGCATATCTTCTGGCATTCTACCTGGCATATCTTCTGCAATATGTTCTGGCATATCTTCTGGCATTCTATCTGACATATCTTCTAACACTCAATCTGGCATATCTTCTGGTATTCTATCTGGCCGTTGAGGTCCAGCAGTGCACACTGAGCTGGGAAGGTCCCAGGTTGAGGTCCAGCGGTGCACACTGAGCTGGGAAGGTCCCAGGTTGAGGTCCAGCGGTGCACACTGAGCTGGGAAGGCCGCAGGTTGAGGTCCAGCTGTGCACACTGAGCTGTTTGGTCCCAGGTTGAGGTCCAGCGGTGCACACTGAGCTGGGAAGTTGGCAAAGAGCTTGGCGAAGAGTTGGCAAGGCGGAAGTTGAGGTGGAAGTTGATGCAGACATGATCGAGGAGAAACTGGAGGAGGAGGAGGCAGAGGAGGAGGAGGAGAAGGCGGAGGACGAGGAGGAGGAGGACGAGGACGAGGAGGACAGCTAGCCGAGGAGAACAACTCTGATAAAATCTAACAACCCTCACCTGGCAGGTGGGGAAAAATGAAATTTGCAGTGAATGCGTCCATAATGTTCATCTTCCAAAAAGAAGCTGGCAAGAGGCGAAAAAGAAATAAACCAATTATCAGTATTACTCAAATTTGTTTGCTGTCGTTTTGCTTTTGGGTTCTCAGGCCCCCCCTTGTTTTTCATATTTTTCATTTTGTTTTCCTTATTTTTCTCTATTTCATTTTTTTAAACACTATTTTGTTATTTTTATTTTTTATTTTTTTCATTCTTTTCTATTTCTCATTGTTTTTCATTATTTTTATCCTTCTTCTTATTTCTTTTTCATTATTTTTTCATTTTTTCATTTTTCTCTACTTTTAAACTGTTTTTCATTATTTTCCATTATTTTTCATTATTGTTATCATTATTTTTCCCTACTGTGTATTGCTTTGTTCCTTCTTTTTCTCTATGTGAGCAGCGCCAAAAACCTCCAAGCAAGAAAGTTAATTGGGGATTAAACTAAGGTGGGCCCGCGGAAGTGAAACCCACGTCCGCGGAAGCGCGCGGAAGGGCTTGCGGAAGCAGACGCTGATCGTCCGATCGCGAAAGGGCCGCGGAAGACGATTTGAGTACCTGTGAACCCAACCCCTGATGTAAAGTGCCTAGTTGTCTGACCCCTTCTGTTTGTAGGGCTACTGGGGAGCCGCGTTGAGTTTACTCCGCTTGCTCCTGTCATTTTTGGCTCAAGATGGTGAGCTGTGACTCCGGTTTCACTGCAGCTTTGCAAAGCAAGGTTGTGGCGCGACTGAGCAGTAGCCGACCGTGCGACAAAGGGTGACAAAAGGTGATCTCTGGGCCGGTGAGGTGAGACTGGCGGGACCCCGGACCCTTTGGTTCGCAGTTGGGGGCTGTTCTGGGAAGTCTGAGCGGAAAGAACCGAAACGGTCGAGGCTACTATAGCTCACCGCCAGCATGGCTCGGGAAGTACGAATGTTCGACCGAACATTGCTGGAAGCAATCGAGGAAGGTATAGTCCCAAGGCCGGGGCTATTGACCTATCAAGATTGGAACTCGTGGCGTGCCAGGGATGGGCAGCGCCCGAGCAAGAGGAGACATGGAGATGACGAAAGAACCACGACGACTGCAGAAGAGGCGCAGTTGTGGAGGACCGTAATGGAAGCGCTGTACGGCCCTGAATGGAAGGACCAGTTGGCTGTGGCCGGGGGTGCCGTGGAAGAGACAGAAGAAGAGGAAGAGGAGGAAGAAGAAGAAGAAAGACTTCCCACTACCCTGGCCAGGGCACCAGAAGGCGGGGTTCGAGTGGCCCAAGGCGCCGAACCACCGGCCATAGGTCCAGGCGGGTCGGCTGCGTCTTCCACGGTTGGTGGTGAGTCCGTGTTCCGTGATATGTCTCTTGTTCGGTTGCAGGACTTGCTGATGTTTGTGTGGTGCCCTGGTGCCCTTAGTCTTTCCATGTCATCGCATTGGAAGTTTAACAGCATTGGCGCCATGCACCTCAAGCTTACCTTCAGGCATCGGCCTGGGCAGGCACTTGTCTTTATGCTCCTTGACAAAGCCTTTGAGTTTCTCTATGTGCTCTTCCAAAACAGTCGTGGGTAGCTCTTGGGCCGCTCTTCTCTGGAACCATCTTCGTGCCCTTGACACGGACATGGCCACGCTTGAGAGCCTATGTGTGTGTGTGTGAGAGTGTTTGTGGGTAGAAAAGTTTCAAAGTTATTTTACGTGATTTCCGTACTTGAGGGGTATCAAATAGCTGTTTGCTTAGTAAGTTGGAATGGGTAAAATGGATGGTTGAAGTATGTTCAGGAGTATTCGAACCAAACGACTGCGGGTCAACAGAAGTCATTTGAAGTGCTATCCTACATTTGGTTCGCGAGAGGACAGTAGCAAATTGCTACTGTCCTCTCACACAGCCAGACCGGCCCGGAGTCGCGAGAGAACAGTAGCGATTCGCGAGACGATGCTATCTTTGAAGATTTATACTAGCTTCTCACGATTTGCTACTGCGCTCTCACACATCCAGACCGGCCCGGCCGCGCGAGAAGACAGTAGCGATTTGCTACTGTCCTCTCGCACATCCAGACCGGCCCGGGAGCGCGAGAGAGTTAGTTCAGATTCTTTCGCACGCCCAGACCGGTTCGGATTTGCGGGCGGTAGTTCAGATGATTATGACAGTGATACTTTTCATTTCAAAATTTAATACATCATCTTTCGCACACCCAGACCGGTTCGGATTTGCGGGCGCCATACATAATCTTGATTAAGTTTAATGATGATTTTCCACAACTTTAGTGACATTAAGAGCTACACAGATGATGCCAAACAGACCGACATAGGAATTGTCAAGGATCAATAGCCTTGGAGTCATGCAGGCACGTAGGTCTTTGAGGTGCATGGCGCCAATGCTGTTAAACTTCCAAAGCAATGATATGGAAAGACTAAGGGCACCAGGGCACCACACAAACATCAGCAAGAGGAGGTTTTTCTGAAGGATTACGCTCCTGGGTCGGAGACGGCAGTCCGGTTCGCAAAAAGGTTGCGGCGGGTGTCGGAGGCCTTAGGCTGGCTGGGAGAAGAAGTGGACGAAGCCTCAATGGAGCGGCGGGTCATCCGCGCCCTCTACTGGGAAAAGATCTACGAGGCAGATGAGGAATGCCAATTAGGCCTGCTGAAGGATTTCTTCCAAGAGCTTGTTTTGGATGAACCGCCAAAGGAGCAGGAGCAGGAGCATGAAAGGCGAGTGTCAGTTCTGCTCGAGATGATCCAGGAAAGAGGAGGCCAGCTGAGTAAGTCTGCGCAAAAGCTCTTCTCCTCAACCGAAGGCACTCCGGAGAAGGGAGTGGACGCTTCTATTTCACGGCACTCGCCGTACAAATTGGGAGGGCATCAAGCGATACGGCTTGATGAGTGAGAGAGCCCTGCTGGGGCGAAAGGGCAGATTGCATTTGCATTTCTGCCGTGCCCGGGAACACGTCAAGCAAGGGAGCGAAGTGGTGATCAAGGTTCACACTTCAGCTCTGTACCGATGTGCGGCTGAGGAGAACGAAAAAGTTTATGGGAATGAAAAAGCAATTTACGTGCTTTTCAGCATTCCTGTCGACTGCCTTGCAGAGGTCACTGACTTGCGGACCGGGGAGGACCTTCTTAAGGGTCAAAAAGTAGTATCCTCCCGGCCTGCAGCCTCTAGCATAGCTACGTCCTCCCAGCCTGCGGCCTCTGGCGCGGCTGCATCTTCGCAGCCTGCGGCCCTTGGCGCGGCTTCTCCCTCCCAGCCTGCGGCTACAAGCGCGGCTTCCAAGGCTCAGCTTGCTGCTGAGGAGGCAGCGTTGCCAGAGGAGTCTCGTCCTAGGCCAAAGGCTAAGGCGGGCCCAGTTGCAGAAGCAGCTACTGGGGTGAAGGACTCGGCAGCGACGTCCTCGGTTCAGCCTACTCCTGAGCAAAACTTGAAGGACCGAGAAGCTCACACAGCTAAAGGAGCCAAGGAAGTGAAGTCAGAAGTCAAGGAAGGCCAGACGGTGATGCGAAGTGAGCAGCAGGAGTCCAAAAAGGACCGAGTTGGAAAACTTGAGCCTAAGAAGAAAAGGGCCAAGGTGAAGGCGGAGGTCAGCGCCGAAGAGGCACTTGGGGAAAAGGAAGCCAAATGGGCCAAGGCAAGAGAAGTGCCAGGTACTGATGACGAATCAGGAAGTTACTCCTACGAGGAGGATGAAGGTGAGTGCTCTGTCGACTGGGGAGGCGACGACGCCGATCGGCGTTCAAGGACTCCTGAAGGGCGCCGACCTGGAGTGATTCTCAAGTCCAAGGGCTATCTTGAATTGGAGGCTCGAATGGCTGATCCAGCGGGTGAGGGTAGCGCCGCGGACACTCAACCAGGTACAGCGGGTGCGTCCGGCACCACGGACACTCAAGACGCTCAAGTCCCTGCGGGTGCATCTGGCACTGCGGACAGCCAAGCAAATCCAGCGAGTTCAGCTGGACGCTTGGATACTGCGAGCAGGCGAAAGGCCATAGAAGAGGACATAAAAGAGCATGGAGCGGTCGTATGCCCTCGTTGCGACGCCCGAAATGCTACTTGGAGACTGAAATGTTATCGGTGCGGCTTGGAGCGCCCGAATCCGAAAGACATAGTCCGAGAGCATGGAGACCGCCGCAGTACCCGTGGAAAGAAGCGGGGAGGCAAGAAGAACCGTGGGGCCGGCCAGGGAGGAAGCCAGGCAGAAAGCGAGACCTGGACTCAGACTCAAAACTGGTGGCAGTCACAGGACTGGTCGGAGTCCCATGGTTCCCGAAGTTCTGACTGGCAAGGGAGCTCTTGGAGTTCTCGATCCAATTGGACATGGGGCAAGTACGATCCGAAGGGGAGTGATCAAAATCACCCTTTTGCGCATCCAGAAGTGATGGTGATGCGGGCTGCGGCCGCCACCATAGCTCTTGCCGGGTTGAGAGGAGTCTTACGACTCACAGAGCAAGCCGTGGAATCTGTACTGGCTCTGATCCAGGTCATAGAAGTCAATACGGCTGAGGTAGTAGAACAAGCACAAATGACTCTCACGGACCTGGTGCAAAGGAGCGTGGTGATCGGGTTCATCCTTCTTTGGGGGTGGATCGGATTCAGGTGGTGGATGTGGAAGCAGTCCAAAGACCGGAGGATCCTGGATGATCTGGAGTTCAAGACTCCGCACACTTCTCCTGAAAAAGGGGATGTGAGCAGCAAAGCCAGCAGGGAGCATCGCTCGCCCCTAAAACGGCCGAGTACTGCCATCCTCCGGGCGAAAGCCCTCGGCAGTGTGGCCAACCAAGGGGGACAGCGGGCGATAATGCCGCTTCCTGGGAAAGGTCCTGGAACCCGAGTGCGGACCAGCAGGTCGCCTCAAGTTGAAAAGGTCCAGAAGGGGAAGGCATCTAACAAGGTGCCCCGCAAAGCCGCGAAGTCCCCCACTCCTTTTCTGAATGGTGGAGTGAAGAGCTTAGAAATGTTCGCTACAGCACGTGAATATCAGGAAGCGGCCATTTTGGCGCTCCGCAGCTGTTCTGAAACAAGACCCGTGGCAATCGATCTGATCGCTTATGCGATCGACAGAGCTGACTTGCTGGGTGCTCTTCTTGCAGTGGCAGAAGTGCATCAAGTGCCTGTCAAGGTCATAGCTGATCAAGCGCAGACCAACAGAATGGCAGAGCAGAAAAGAGTCCTCGAACAAGCAGCTGAGGGAGGTCTTGATGTTCAGCTGCGAACAGGAAACGAGCTCAGAAGCCACTACCTTGAGGCTGGGAGACAAAGAAATGGGTTCAGAGGGATCCAGCATGCCAAAGTTTTGGCCATAGAATGGCAAGACAGCTGGGAAATCTTCGCCGGGAGCAGTAACTGGACAACTGCTTCTAGAGGCAACCACGAGCTAGGTTGGCGGGTGGAGCTCCACAAAGCTGGCGGGTTATCGAACCAACTCAGAAACTGGCTGGATTCAGTATGTGAGGGGTCGGTTCCGATGACTCAGGTTCGTGCAGAGAAGAACCAGAAAGCTGGAGGAAAATCCACAGACAAAACAGCTAGACTCTCGCGGTCAGAGACGCAGAGCTAAAAGCTCTTGCGGTCGAAGACGCGGAGTCAAGGTCCTGCGGTTACCATTTGGTACGCGGACCTAATAATTCGTACAGAAGGTGTGGCGACACTAGGCAGGGGGGCGAATGTGAACCCAACCCCTGATGTAAAGTGCCTAGTTGTCTGACCCCTTCTGTTTGTAGGGCTACTGGGGAGCCGCGTTGAGTTTACTCCGCTTGCTCCTGTCATTTTTGGCTCAAGATGGTGAGCTGTGACTCCGGTTTCACTGCAGCTTTGCAAAGCAAGGTTGTGGCGCGACTGAGCAGTAGCCGACCGTGCGACAAAGGGTGACAAAAGGTGATCTCTGGGCCGGTGAGGTGAGACTGGCGGGACCCCAGACCCCTTTGGTTCGCATACCGTATTAAATTTCTTATATTTACATATATACGTATACATATACATTTACATATACATATACATGTACATATACAATATATACATATACATATACATATTCATGTACATACACAGATACATATACATATACATCTACATCTACATATCATATACATACACAGATACATATACATATACATACATATATATATATATATATACACGTGTACATACATATACATGTACATTCATGTTTACATGTGTGTATGTCTCTATATATGCAAAGAAATCGGTAGATAATGATATGCGTATGTATCGGTTTTATTTGTGATAGGGTTGTATCAGACTTCCATCATTCCATGGCGGCTTCGGTTTGTCGCCTGATACCGTGCTGCTGGGAGCGGGCTGGTGGCATTTCATTTGCTTCCAGGCATTTTGCCCAAGTGTGGCTAGTGGTGTAGGCAGCGCGTTTCCCTTCTGAAAGCAAGTTATGGGCAATTGTGGGGATTGTAAGGTTGAGCAGCAAGGACAATGTGCTACTGCAAAGGTCGCTTACATTGCCCCATTTGTTTCCGAGAGGAAACGTAAGGAAACCCTTGAAAATCATGGAGTTTTAGCTTGCACACCCCTATAACTTGTCATATGCACAGATTTCTGGTACAACAGGGCAGGTCTGATACTGGTTCATTGATATTCTTTGCAAGGGCTAAGGGTTGTAATCACTTTGGAAATATAGACAGATAAATTTACAAATGCAGAGTGATAAGCTTCACTTGACTTAGCTTCCATTCCCATTAGCATGGTGCCTGCTCCCGCTTTCTGTGGTGTGCGGAATTGTTGTGGCGAGATCAAGCCCGTGGACACTGATGATGGGTCTGTACGGGCGCAATGCAGTCAAAAACCATACCACGAAGCATATCTCACGAAGCGTGAAGATGGCCATGTCATGTATGAATGGGTGACCCGTGGTAAACGAAGCCTGAAAGGCACTTTGGTTCGCGAAGGCCCGGCCAGCAAAACAAAACCTAGGTTAATGTTGCTGAATCCAAGGCATGATGGCTTGATGTTTTTACAATGCTTGCAAGCAGGGGAACCTATTTATAACTTGGTTTTTCTAAACCTAAATAATCGTACATATAATCGCCATGAGCCGCAGTAAGCCTAGTTCTAAATATAAACTACATAAACCTCTATACATATAATTCTTTTTTGTGGGGCATGACCACCTTGTAGTTCCCTTGTTTCTGACTTTGCCCCCAGGCAAGCATGAGGCACCACCTTTGCAAGATGAGGCACCACCATTGCAAGATGACATGGACAAGACTTTAGCGCAGCTAGCGGGCAAGGAGCCAAAGAAGCCACCTCCAGTCACTTGACTCTATTTGTTTCCCTGGCTTGTTTTTCCCCTTCTTCCTGACGGGCTTCTGTAAAAAGCAATGATTCAGGCTTTTCACGGTTCCCGCAGCACCCGCCTGGCCGCCAATCTCTGTGCACAGGTCCTGGACGATCCTACGTTGCTTGCTTTATCCGTGCCGTTGCAGCAGCCGAAGGCACAAAAGCCAGGAGATCCACAAGACCAAGGGGAAGGCATGGACAACCAGCAGCTCCCGGTGAGCTTTGGCTATCGGATAGTGTGGTTTTGACTTAGTGCTTGCTGGTTTGCCTGCGGAATCTTGATACAAGCGGGGTCCATTTTTTATTTTGATGCTTTGAAAGCAATGAATCTGAGGAGAGGAAGCTGTGCACCCGAGACCGCGCCTGCACAAGACGATGAAAGAGCACCAGTTGCAAATGCTGATCGGGTGGGAGTGGCAGTTTCACGCAAAAATGTTTCTAAGACATTCTAAGACCAGTACGGCAAAAGCTGCGGGGAAAGCAGCAGCTTCTAAGCCAAGTGCCCCTCCTGAAAGTCCGCAACCAAAGACACCGGCCAAACGAAAAGCAGAAGCTGTGCCCGAAGATACTCCGTAGAGCCAACCGCAGAAAGTGCAGAAGGCTGGCTTTGGTGGCAAAACGGAAAAAGCATCCTTGTGCAAAGCGTGCTCCGCCGAGCGGGATGCAGAGCAAAAGGGAAACTACTGGCAGCACTGTGTAAAATCTTGCCGTCAACTCTTTGGACACCAGTCTATCGGCCAGATTCTGGGATGCCAAGAGGACAGCGCTAAGCTGACAGAGAAATCCAGTGAGTTGAGGGCAAGTGCAGGCGAGGTAGCAGAGTAGAATTCACGATTGAATCGCGCACAAGTTGCGAAATTGGTCCGTGAAGTCAAAGCTTTTGTATCCATTTTGCCACGTCTTGAGTCCGCGCTGTCTCGGTTAGAGAAACCTCAGCTTCACAATAAGGACGTCCGAGACTAAGGTTTCACTGGGGTTGCATACTTGTAGGCTAGGGCCTGGCGCAAATGAAGAAATGACCTGAAAACAATAAAGACATAGGTTGCATTTCGTTGTCCTGATGGCGCCTTGTCCCTATCACTATCCATGGGAACACGGCTCGTGGAAGCCGTGCGTGAGACAGTATGCCTTTTCGGGGTTCACGGTTCACACGCCGTGCTACTATATATGTTGATGCGATTCGTGTGGAGAATGGTGCTGTGCAGTCAGCCTTCATGGGGGCTTGGCGCAGGATGGAAGGTCATCCCTGTAACCCGAAGTGCTTTTTGAGACTTTGAAATGTTATTATGAACCCGTTTTGGCCCCAAAATTCGCGGAAGCCGCGCGGAAGCTCCGCGGAAGCTACGCGGAAGCCGAATCTTCTCTTGCCCGCTCCCAGCACACGCGGTTGGGTACCAGCGGCTGCTTGACCATCCTGCTTCCTGCGAGGTTCCTCCACAACATGGACGTGCTGAGGTTGAACTAGTACTTGTCTGACCACAGTGCTGGTTGCCGAGGCATCTCCAGGGGGGGTGCTGAGTGGGCTGCGCTCTGCTCTCCACAGGCCTCCCTCTCTTGCTTTCCACGGGATTCTTCCATGACATTACCAGGCAGGTGCCTGGGCACATGAATCACGGGTCCATGAATAAGATATTTCACTTTTACTTATTTCTGCAGTGTTATCAATTCAATTCCCATAGTGGCAAAACTGTAGCCATGTCGTGTCGCCCCTGAGTGTGTAGGCCAGTGCTTGCCTAGTCCAAATATATCGAGTCCATGGCCGAAAAGAGAAAAAAGTCTTGGAGCTCACTGACACCACCATACCGCTCCAAAGTCTTGTCCGAATCTGTGGCTTCCTTTGTGCCGCATTGCCACCATGAATCAGATTTCGACCAGTTTTTGAAACAATTGCTTCAAAAAAATTGCCGCGACCATTCCGCGCTAGCTGCCTCAAGCTCCATTCTCCTCAATGCTCTAGACGCAAAAGCTGTCATTGGAGGCTTGGCAGCTTTGAGGGCTCAGCATGCAGAAAGGACGCTTCATCACCCTAGCATCACTGTGAATGAGTTGGATGATGTCCTTGTCCACAACACTCCGACCAGGTCGACTTTAGAGAATTTGGGCTACCCAATCTCCAGGAACCATTATGGCAAGATCTTGCGCAAGGAAGTCTCCCTGCAGAAAGTTCCGTCTGCAAGTCTTGGTGGGCGGCCCTCACTTGTGAATAGTGACGATGCTATCGCTGCAGTCGGCAAGGTGGTTGAGGAACACACCTTTGAAAGTGAAAGGGTCGTTGTGGTAGGTCACGGCTCGAAGAAGCGTATGGTTGTGGCAAACCATCTCACCAAGACCAAGCACCGGCTGTGGTGTGAAATTGAAGCCTTGCATGCTGCCATGTCTTGGGAAAGTTTTAGAATTAGAAAAGTGTTGCAGATCCATTTTCCGCATATGCGGAACTCTCGCCGCAACACAGATGTTTGCTCACACTGCAAAACATTTGAAAAGGACTTGCTGCCTGCAGCTTTCCGGTCCATGGAGCGGGCTCAGGCACTGCTGTCTCAACTTTGCCCAAACTACTTCCAAGAACTTGATACAAGCCAGCCCGACAAAGTCAGAATCCTGGAGCAATTTTATTCCTTTGTGGCACGACGGGAAGCAACTGCTTCGCAAGACCCATTGCGCCAAGGATTTACCAGAGCTGATCGTTTAGCTTTGCATTCAGCAGAAGCACAGGCACTGCACCGTTTGAAACCCCATGTGGAAATCGTGCAAGCCTATGAGTGGCACCAGGTCTCGGCCCGCAGGCAAGGAAACTTTGTGGCCTCTATGTGTTCAAAGCTTCCTTCTGGCACTGCCCTCCTCCACGTCGATTTCAAAGAGAACATCAAGTACCCGATGGGGCCAGATGAGACGTCGGAGGAGTGGCACGCCCAGAACAAGCTCTCTTTGACCGTTTTCGGCGCCAATGCAAGTGTACCGACGTGCCTAACAACCTGTGTTTTTGTTGTAGCTATTTTGTTTAGCTGATTCCTGCATGCTTTCACCATAGACGCACCAAACCTGTCCAATGCTCAGGCATGGCGGAGGAAGCAAAGAGTTTTTCATCCTCGTGACCACCGACATCTTAGATCATGATGCTCAGGTTGACTGCATGATGGTGAGCGCGGTCTTGTCGCATCTTTGCCCCCGTGCAGATGTGGACTGGGGGTCTGTGAATCACCTGCTGATAGTTGCCGATTGTGGCCCTCACTTTCGGAGCGAAGAGAACCTTGCGCATTTTTGCGTTGCCTTACCTATGACGCTCCGCATGTTTGTTGAGGTTTGCTGGCTTGTGGAGCAGCATGGCAACCCAGGGTTGACCGTTGTTTTGGCTGGTGCAATTCATGGATCACGAGCTACATCAACCGTGCCCCTATCCACAGCTTGGATGATCTCATCAAGTGCTTCACAGAAGGATCTGGACGCATGATGGCACAAGATCCTGATGGCCCCACCATTCCACTTGTACAGTTCGCCCCTGGCGAACGCAGGCCATCCAAACGCCTTTTGGTCAGCGAAAACTTCAAGATTTCGCGAACATACTTGCTCATTGGTTCCCTGTCCTCGTCTGCGCACCATGGGGCCATGATCCGCAACAAAACCTTTTCGGACTTATCCCCAGGCGATGTGCTCAGCTATAGCATAGCCTCCAAGACGTTTCTTTTGAAGATCTGCCGCCTTGGCGAGTTGGATGCTACGACAAGCCTCGTGCTTGGGAACAGCCAGGAGCTGAAGCAGGCAAAGAGAACAGTGTTACTCGCAGATTCCGCGACCAAAAGACAAAAAAGGCCGCTTACATGCCGAACCGAAGGCCAACCTTTTTGCAAAATTGCTCTGACAAAAGTCTTTCCCTGCAGCGCGCTGCTGCAAAGAAACGCCGCCAGAAGCAGAGGCTACGTGGAGAGGAATCTTCGTCTTCTTCCACATCTTCTTCATCTTCCGCCTCGTCTTCTCCATCGTCGGATGAAGAATCTGTCTGACTGCCGAGCGCGTGCTGCTGCCAAAGAAAAAATGCTTGAGTGCCCGGATGCACAAACAAGCCAAACATCACCCACTATTCTCCACAATCAAAGTCAATCAGTTTCCATCAATGCTAAATCAATTTGTAGATTTCATGAGGAGCTGGCTTTCGCGGAAGCTCCGTGGAAGCAGAATCAACTTACCAACCATCCGCGGAAGCTGAAACTGTGGTGGCGGAAGCAGCGCGGAAGACCGCGCGGAAGACAAGTCAGATTATAAGAGAATGACATAGGGTTTTCAGCACCGCTCATGTTTCATTATTTTTCATTATGTTTTTCCTCCTTCTCTATTGTTCATTATTTTTCCTTCGTTTTCTAGATTTTTCATTAGTTTTCATTTTTTTTCCTTATTTTTATCTTTTTTCATTGTGTTTCATGGTTTTTTCTTCCTTTTTCTTTTTCTTTTTTTGCCTTTTCTTCTTTCTTCCTTTTTCTTTATTTTTCATTGTTTGTTTCTTTGTTTTTCATTAAATTTGATTATGTTTCCATTATTTTCTCTTTTTTTTCGTTATTTTCACTATTGTTTTTCATTGTTTTTTCCTTTTTTCTCTATGTTTCATTGTTTGTCATTGTTTTCTATTCTTTTTCTCGATTTTTCATGAGGTTGCATTGGTTTTTCATTGTTTGTTTGTTTCAATGTTTTTTTATTATACTTCGTTGTTTTTTCAATGTTTTTCATTATTTTTCATTGTTTTAACTGTTGGTTCTCTATTTTTCATTATGTTTCATTGTTTCCTTCTTTGTCTTTCATCATTTTCATGTTTTTCTGTTTTTCATTGTTTTTCATGGTTTTTCTTTGTTGTTTTTTATTTTTATTTTCTTTCAGTGTTTGTTCACTGTTGTTTCATTGTTTTACTTTTAAATTATGTTTCATGCTTGGGTTCCTAGTTTTCATTTTTTCATTGTTTGTTCATTGTTGTTTTCATTGTTTTGTTTTTCATTTTGTTTTGCCATTATATTTTTTTTCATTGTTTTGCATTATTTTTCATTTTTTTCATTTTTTCCCCTTTGTTTTCCTCTATTTTTCATTGCCTCTCATTGCTTTTTCATTTTTGTTCAGCATTGTTCATTGTTGTATCATTGTTTTTTCATAGTTTTTAATTATTTTTCATTGTTTTTCATTATGGTCATATTTTTTAAAAGTTTTTCATTGTTTTTTGGTTTTTCATTGTTTTTCCTTCTTCTTCCATATTTTTTCATTCCTTTTCATTGTTTTTTCATTGTTTGTTTTTGTTTGTCATTAAATTTCACTGTTTTCATTGTTTTTTCTTCTCATTTTTCCGCCATTGCTCATTGTCTTCCATTGTTTCTTCATTGTTTTTCATGATTTCCTTTGTTTTTTCATTGTTTTCATTGTTTTTCTTTTTTCATTTTCATTATTTTCCATTGTTTTTTCATTGTTTTTTCTCAATGTTTCATTATTGTTCATTGTTGTTTCATTGTTTTCATTGTTTTTCATTGTTGTTCATTGATGTTCTGTCGAACGCATTTCATCCTTCGCTATCAGTTTGCCGTTTGTTGTGTGCAACATCTTCATCTCAAGTCATTTCAATGTTGGTAGCCCCATCACTTGCCGTGTGCATTTGTTGCGCCGTTGGTGGCTTCATTGGTGGATTGTCCTTTAATCGGGAGACTCCTCATTGTAGTTGCCCTGATTGCGTGGTTAACCTGTCCTGTCCTGCTGTTCACTGTACCACCGGAAACTTTGAAATCAGCCTCACATCTCTGATCTATCTTGGATTTGGATTGCTGGTGACTTATCTCATTGGGTGGGCGGTGAAGAGACAAGCTGACTGTTGGGAGCCAACAAGCCAGAAGCGGGCAAGCGTAGTGGATGGCCGCCGGCCCTCACTTGGCACCTCAAGCCATTGGCGGCCCGGGGCCGGGTAGCTACCTCCTGGTCAAGTACGACTTGCCAGACACCACATGGCACAGCCGACTTTTGTTAGCGCATCTCAATGCAGGAGAATGGATTGTGTTGACTCCAGACGGAGACATATACTCGGAGGAGTACTCCCCAAGCAATGGAGACAAAGCGTCTTGGCGACCCTACGACCCTCAAGTCGGCGCTCCCTTTGGGGTTGCTGTCGGGGACATTTATGAATTGAGGCTGTTTGACCCTCATTTCGTGCGAACGGGCCTCACCAAACTCGCATTTTGCCACATGTTTGGACGTGCGACCTGTGCGATCTCGTCTCACGTGCCCACAAGAAATTCGTATTTCACCACATGTTTGCGTCCACCACGCACGATCTCTGGAGACGGCTGGCGGCAAAGAAGGTTCGCATTTTACCACATGTTTGCCCATTCGACACGCGCGATCTCCGCAGAGGGTTGTTCAAGGACAAACAAAACCCGCATTTCGCCACACGTTTGGGTGACCGACACGCCGCGAAGGGTCACGTTTCGTAAGCCACCACCTGGCTGTCCCTGCCGGCAGAGAGAAATAGAAGAACTTGAGAAGTAGGATTTTGTAGGAGTTCAGATACAGTTTGATCACCTGGAAGTTAGCTGAACTCCTGTGTAGCAACTCCTGTCTAACAACTCCTGTGTAACAATTTCTGTGCAAATGACCTTGTAGGAGTTTTGTAGGAGTTCAGTTAGAAGTGGAACTGGTGTAGATGATGTTGTCTATGTTGTAGATAATGAGGATAATGTTGTAAGCGATGTAAGGTGAGATGGTTGGTGTTGATGTAGAAACGATGGTGTAGAAAATGTAGGCGATGTAGAGGATGTAGTGATATAGATAACGATGTAGGTAATGTATGTGTTGTAGATGATGTATGTCATGTAGATAGGTTGATAAAAAATTGTGTAGGTAATGTAGATGATGTGAGATAGATGATGATGATGGTGATGATGATGGTGATGATGATAATCATGATGATGCAGAGAAGATGGTGTAGAAAATGTAGGTGATGGAAAAGATGAATAGGAAATGTGAATGATGTATGTTAGGTATGAAGTAAAGAGTGAGGCGGGCAGCAGTTCTTTGGGAAAAACGTTTCGCCCTTCAGCTGCCACAGTATTGCAAACGCTTGTGGAAAACGGTTTTCATAAAGCGTTTGCGCTGTGATTGCGCCTTGCATGCCCGGCCTCTAGAGTAAGAAGGGCTGGGCAATAAACGCATTTCACTCGTTGCGTGTTTGTTGAGCTTCTTTGTTTCTGGCTGTTGGGAATACTCTTTGGGTTTATTTTTTGTTTGATAAAAGTCTGTTTGTTCCAATCTATTTGGACATGTTTGGCTACATGGAGACTGGCCCAGTTTCCTCTATGGCATCTTGGGTGGAAGCTGGGGGTTGGAAACCATTTTGTGATTCAACGGTGCCCCAATCCGTAGCCATGTCCACATGGGGATCCCATTGGCAGATTTCATGGAAGTGGATATATTTCTGATAATTTCCAATGAAAAGGTTTCCAACAATATAAATACCCCAACAGCTTGATGGTTTATAATGGAAAGTCAGGGTATCCCCATTGCAGGAAACCTTCATATCAAGTCCGATCGACATTGAAAGCTCAGATGGAACCCCAAAACTTTGGAACCGGCTCATCATGATGGTTTGAACGTTGCCATCCCACAATTTGGTTAGTTGAGAAGTTGTCGTTCGTTCG